GGGGTTACTAAAATATTTGAACTTTACCTTTCCAAAAGATAAGTAATGGGTAGTTCATGTTATGACAGGTTTGATTTTCCTATATAATGTTTATAGATGTTATACACTCATATTACGTACTCTCCTCTCCTTTAGGCGCACCCTGAAAACCCACCTCTTCAGGGAAGCCTACCCTGACCCCTGCTAATTGCCGATCTCCTCCATTCTTCCTACCACTCCATCCCCCATAGCTTTTCCTCCTGTACCACTATCCCCCCCCTCCTAGATTGTAAGCTCCAAGGAGCAGGGCCCTCGAACCCCTTGTGTATCGCATTGTATTGTTACTGTACTGTCTCATGTATTGTCTCTATTGTAATGTACAGTGCTGAGTGAACTATTGGCGCTTTATAAATACTGTATAATAATAATAATGTACATGAGTGTCTGTTCAAACAACCTGATATCTGGTACACCTGATGCAGGAAGGCTTTCTTTCACATTTAAAGGAAATGTAGGTTATAATGAACACATGGCACAAGCAGCATTGCAGTGCGATTCATCAGGCACAACCTAAAAACAATTACACCCCTTCTCCATTAAACATCAATACAACAGTGACTTACACTGTGTTTATGTAATAAACTCTGCTTCCTACTATCATAATGGTGGTTTGTCTGAAACTGCTGAGATATATTAAAGCAGAACAAATGTACTAGGTGTCAAAATGCTTGTATTTGATGCACATGTAAATAAAACATTCTCTCAATGAGCATATATACACCAGTTACTGAAACAGTGCATAATTTAATATCAAAACATTAAGGCAGAAAAAGCATGGGCCTATGACATACCATGTCATCAGGACCAGATTTAAATGCTCTAGGCCAATTCTCTTTTGCCATCCTACCCTGAACAATATTAACAAAGAGACTGAAGGAGGCAGTTTTGTGTGGTTACACCTAAAATTAGAGACCAGAACAACATAGCAGATTGTCAACCTGCCAGTTGTTTGCAGTGCACTATGCTATCAAGGACAGCATAGAATGTGTAAGAGCAGCGACAATAAATACAATAAATCTGCTTAACACTGACAAACCAACACAGGTATATATGAAAATGTATGACTGATGGATATGTTATTGTCTGGGTACCTTCCATGGCACTCCTAGGCCATGCCCAAGGCAGCAGAGTTAAGCTGGCCATGATTGTGTCATTTTTTTCAAGGTGGATGAAGGAATCCTCCCCTCTACACTATTGTATTCTGACGCAGGAACTGTTAAAATACATTGGTCAGTGCTGCAGCCATTGACTGCATGCACAGATCAAGTGAAAAATTTATACCAGCCTTTTGAGAAAAGATGATTCTCAGATCAACTTCCCTGGAAATTCCATCTGTTCCTGCTAAACTGATGAATTTTGGTCGATGGCCACCTTAGAGTTAGCAGCACCAAGCCTCAAAAAGTTACGATTATGCTCATTTTCCTGGGTACTTTATGTAACTCTTCTGGCCACCACTGAGCATTTGTACTTTAATTTAGCCAGATAACTGTAGAGGGAAAAGGTATACAGCGGATATTGATAGGAGTCAGAATGCTGCTTGTAGTTCAGGAAACACGAAGCCATATCTCCTTTTGTTTGTTCGGTTGTCTGTCTATTTGAAAAGCAGCTATGCAAGTGGTAGTTTTTACTAAAATAAACTCATACAACAGGATGTCTTCATTCACTTTGTCTCGAACAACATGATGGGTATATGCAGCCCTGGCCATGTGAACTATGTTTACATTTTGGCTCTGTATATTACAAAGGGTAGAATCATTTTTATTTAATAAACAGAAAATTACTGCAAAGTGATTTGGGGAATTGGTTACGCAAGGTAATGACATTTTTCCTTTCAAAAACTCACAACATAGAACGTTTTTCATATAATGCAGTACAGTTATGAAGCCTATACACCCTATATTAGTAGCATGCTTTCTAGTTGGAGACTGAACGAACCAAGAACATTGGACATAGGTCAAAGTCTTACTTCACATTAAAGATCTCATTTATAATTGGTCTAAATTTACACCACTCTGCAATCGTATTCCATATTGATTTAGCTTGCTTTGTATATATTTCCTGAGGTCTATATTTCCTTGTAGGACCTAACATAAAGTAGTATTTAAATCACTATGTCCACATCACAACTACATTTTTAAAGATGTACTTATAGGCACGTAATTGTATTGTGAGGAAATCATTTTTTATTTGTGTGTGTCATTTATCAAAATGATGGACTATATAGATGGTTCCTGGTCTAACAGCAAGGAAAAAAAGATATCAGTACCCATGTAATCTGCTGCAAGAACTACTCAATAAACCGGTAATAAACAAATCTGCTAGCCTATGCAATGCAGTTTTATGTTTGGTTTAGTGGTCAGTGGTGTAAATAAAATATTCTCACCTGTTAAAATAAATGTACATAAATGTACAAATGCTCAAAAAAATTAAAAAAACACTTCGAAAACGCATCAGATCTCAATGGGGAAAAATATAATGCTGGATATCTATACTGATATGGACTGGGCAATATGCTAGGAATGTAAGGATGCCCCATCATTTGATGGAAATGAAAACTATAAACCTACAGAGCACTGAATTCAAAGACACCCCCCCCGAAAATCAAAGTGAAAAAAATGATGCAGCAGGCTAGTCCATTTTGCTGAAATTTCATTGCAGCAACTCACAATGGTATTCAGTAGTTTGTATGGCCCCCACGTGCTTGTATGCATGCCTGACAATGTTGGGACATGCTCCTAATGAGACGACGTATGGTGTCCTGGGGTATTTCCTCCCAGATCTGGACCAGGGCATCACTGAGCTCCTGGACAGTCTGAGGTGCAACCTGGTGGAGTCGGATGGACCAAAACATGATATCCCAGAGGTATTCTATTGGATTTAGGTCAGGAGAGTGTGGGGGACATTCAATGGTATCAATTCCTTCATGCTCCAGGAATTACCAGCATACTCATTATGCTGGGCATTGTCGTTCACCAGGAGGAACCCAGGACCAACTACACCAGTGTAGGGTCTGACAAAGGGTCCAAGGATTTCATCCCGATACCTAATGGCAGTCAGGGTACCATTGTCTAGCCTGTAGAGGTCTGTGCGTCCCTCCATAGGTATGCCTCCCCAGACCATCACTGACCCACCACCAAAAGAGTCATGGTGAATGAGGTTACAAGCAGTATAACATTCTCCATGACTTCTGCAGACCCTTTCACGTCTGTCACATGCTCAGGGTGAACCTGCTCTCATCTGTGAAAAGCACAGGGCACCAGTGGTAAACTTGCAAATTTTGGTGTTCAATGCCAATCGAGCTGTATGGTGCCAGACAGTGAGCATAGGGCCTACTAGAGGACGTCGGGCCCTCAGGCCACTCCCATGAAGTCTGTTTCTGATTGTTTGGTCAGCGACATTCACACCAGTGGCCTGTTGGAGGTCATTTCATAGAGCGCTTGCAGTGCTCATCCTGTTCCTCCTTGCACAAAGGACAAAGGAGCAGATACCAGTTCTGCTGATGGATTAAGGACCTTCTACGGCCTGTCCAGCTCTCCTAGAGTAACTGCCTGTCTCCTGGAATCTCCTCCATGCTCTTGCTACTGTGCTCGGAGACACAGCAAACCTTCTGGCATTAGCACGTATCGATGTATCATCCTGGAGGAGTTGGACTGCCTGCGCAACTTCTGTAGGGTCCGGGTGTTGACTCATACTACCAGTAGTGACACTGACCCTAGCCAAATGCAAAACTAGTGAAAAACAGTCAGAAAAGATGAGTAGGGAAAAAATGTCGGTGGCCTCCACCTGTAAAACCATTCCTGTTTTGGGGGTTGTCTCATTGTTGCCCATCTAGTGCACCTGTTGTTAATTTCATTAACATCAAAGCAGCTGAAACTAATTAACAACCCCCTCTGCTACTTAACTGACCAGATCAATATCCCAGGAGTTTAATTAACTTGATGATATACTCTGATTAAAAAGTGTTCCTTTAATTTTTTTGAGCAGTGTACAGTGTATAATAATGTCTCAGGGTTCTGTTAGACTGGTATATCACCAGGAACACGGAAAGAGGTCTTTGATACCAAGAAATATGTTAAATTATATATTATATGATTTCATGATTAACATAATAAAAACTGTTTTAGCTGCATTTGTTTTCACTTTTCATTTTTTCTTCTATTATCACCTTATGACTCAGTGACACACTTCTTGTACTCAAGTTGCAATACTCCCTCACTGCACTATATCTATGGAGGAGCAGCACCATCACACTAGGGCAGGACTACAGAGCAACTCCCATTTTCTTCTTATCTATAAAATAGGGGGTTCCACTAGTAATCCACAAAGAAGAACTGAACAAGGCTCATAACTGCTGCTAACTGATAAGAGCAGGTAACGTGTACAGATTGTTACAAGATCACATGATTTCTTGTAGGATCAACTTGTATTGTTTTTTATTTATCTAAACAAAACATTTTAACCACAAGCCTACAGGGCACTTATACCCCCTTCCTGTCCAGGCCAATTTCCAGCTTTCAGCGCTGTAGCACTTTGAGTGACAATTGCGCAGTCATGCAACACTGTACACATATGAAATTTTTATCATTTTTTTGTGATAGATAGAGATTTATTTTGCTGGTATTTAATCACCTCTGAGTTTTTTATTTTTTCTTAAACAAACCAAAAACCACAGAAAATTTTGAAAAAAAAAATGTTTTTTCTTATTTTTTGCTATACAATTTTGTAAATAAGTGATTTTTCTCCTTCACTGATGTGCGCTAATGAGGCTGCAGTAATGGGCACTGATATGCTGCACTGATGGACACTGATAGGTGGCACTGATGGGCACTGATGAGGAGGCACTGGTAGATGGCACTGATGGGCATTGACAAGCATCACTGATGGGCACTGAAAGGCAGCACTGATACATGGTACTGATATATGGCACTGATAGGCGGCACTGACTGGCACTGTTAGGCGGCACTGACTGGCACTGATAGGCGGCACTGGCAGGCACTGATAGGCGGCACTGATGCGCACTGATAGGCGGCACTGACTGGCACTGATAGGTGGCACTGACTGGCAGCACTGATAGGTGGCACTGATTGGTATTGATAGGTGGCACTGATTGGTATTGATAGGTGGCACTGACTGGCACTGATGGGTGACACTGAAAGGCAGCTCAGATGGGCACTGATATGTGGCATTGATGTGCACTGGTAGGCACTGATATGTGGCATTGATGTGGCACTGATGGGCACGAGGCACTGATGAGCACTGACACAAGGCACTGATAAACACTGACAGGTGGCACTGCTGGGGCTACATTGATCATCAGGGCAACTGATCATCAGTGCCCTGATGATCAGTGTACATGCCCCCTCCGCGGAAAGCTGATTACCGGCTCTCCTCTCAAACTGTCAGAGTGACAGCTCGAGAGGAGTGAAATGCTGATAACCGGCATTTCCCTGTTTACATGTGATCAGCTGTGATTGGACACAGCTGATCACATGACCGAGCCAACATCTTCGGCTCTTTCCGTGATCGGTGATCCGCTGTGCCCGAGGGACACAGTGCACCACCGATTGCTGCACTGCGCGCTCCCTGAGACGCACATGCATGGTGAGAATGGAAGGATGTCATATGACGTCCTACCAGAACGAGAGAACCACCTTGCGTCCGTCATATTACTATATGGCGGGCGGAAGGTGGTTAAATGGTATATTTAACAGACCAAGAAGCATATGAGAGAAGTTCATTGCTATGGTTTTCATACATTTTACTGTTCATACTAGTTAGATCTTATGCTGACATAATCTTTAAATAGATATATACTTGTCCTAGGGCCTGCAGATTTAAATTTATTTAGGTCTTACATTTATCAGCATGTGTTGATATTTAAAAAAAACCTGTTTCTATATAGTGTTTGTACATATACAGTATATATGTACAGTGCTCAGCATAAATAAGTACACCCCTTTTGAAAAGTAAGATTTTAATCAATATCTCAATGAACACAAGAACAATTTTCACAATTTTGACAAAACTGAGTTTCATAGAATATTTGTTTAGCCCATTACATGAATGTAAGGTTAATAATTTAACCTAGATTACAAAGTCTTCAGTTTTAGTCAAATTAATTGATGCAAAAATGAATATACCCCCACAACAAAAACTACTCCATCTAGTATTTTGTATGACCTCCATGATTTGTAAGGACAGCACCAAGTTTTCTAAGCATGGAATGGACAAGTTGGTGACATATTGCAACATTGATCTTTTTCCATTCTTCAAGAACGACCCCTTTTAGGTCCTGGATGCTGGATGGACAGGAATACTCAATTTGTCTCTTCAGAATTCCTCATAGGTTTTAGATTGGGTTCAAATGAGGAGACATGCTTGGTCACTGAGTCACTTTCACAAATGCAACAGTGTCCTTAGATGTGTGTTTTGGATCATCATTATGTTGGAAAAGTGCACGATCAAGGACACGGAGTGATGGTAGCATCTTCTCTTTCAATACAGAGCAGTACATCTGTGAATTCATAATACTATCAATGAAATGCAGCTCCCCAACACCAGTAGCACTCATGCAGCTCCACAGGACACTGCCACCACCATGTTTCACTGTAGGCCCCATGCATTTTTCTTTGCACCCCTCACCTTTGCAATGCCATACAGTTTTGAAGCTATCCGTTCCAAAAACATTTATCTTGATCTCATCACTACAGGATACAGAGTCCTAGTAGTCTTTTTCTTTTTCAGCATGGGCCCTGGGACAAATTCTAGGTGGGATTTTTTGTGCATGGGCTTTAGGAGAGGCTTCCTTTGTTGATGACACCCATGCATGCCATTCCTCTTTAGTGTACGCAGTATTGTGTCCTGGGAAACAATCACCTCAGTTTGGCTTTCAACTTCTTTAGCTAACTGCAGTGAACTTGCATGGTGATTTTCTTCAACCCTTCTCATCAGAAGATGATCCTGTAGAGGTGTTAACTTACGTGGACTTCTCTATGAAATTATTGCAGTTCCATCTTTGTTAAATTTTTGTATCACTTTTGTTACAGTATTCTGACTGATAAGTAAAGCTTTGCTGATCTTCTTGTAACCTTCACCTTTCTTGTGTAAAGAAATTATTTTCTTTCTCAGGCCTTGTGACATTTCTCTTCATGGGGTGCCATTGCTGACAGCATAAAATGGGAAGGGGTTTTCTTTGTTAAGTAATGCCCTTTTATAATCAACTGTCTGCTGGACACCTGTTTAATGATTAATTAGACTCATCTGTAGTTGAATTCTTATTAGGATTTTTTTGTCTAAAATTTAGCATTGCTCCTAAGACTTTCATTGGGGTGTATTCGTTTTTTGCAACATGGTCTGGAATGAATTTGTTAGAAAAAGTACTTTTTTTTGTGTGTGTAAATTAACAAATCTAGTTTGCAATCAATGGCCCGCATTTGTGGGAGTATTTTGTAGTATAGTATCCCACAGAAAATATTGATTCTGAAAGGAAAGTAAAGGTTTTCTGACAAATCTGTTGGGGAGTACTCATTTATGCTGAGCATTGTATATGGGGGCAGCCACATTTGCTAAAATCTGCTTTCTGTTTTGCATTCGACTGACTTATACTTATAAAGTATTACTTTACCAAAAGGGTAGTTAAAGCTTGGAACAGATTTCCGGCAGAGTTAGTGAGTCAATCAACAGTAAGTGAATGCAAACATGTTTTGGACAAATATAGACCTATACAAAAAAGTAAAAAAAAAACATATATAAATAAAAAATAGGACAGACTCAATGATCTTTTTGCTGCTGTCACTTTTGAATGTTTCTATTTAAACAATGCACTTCCAGTGTGGCTAATCATAACAGTTGTTAAAAACTGAAAAAGAATGATTGCAGATTTGTTGGGAAATTCTAATGGGGCATTAAATTAAGGTAGAAGCTGCAATAATATTTGAAAACATATTCTCAATATTATCCTAAGAATTGGCCTTGATATTACTAACACTGGAAATATTTTGTATTTGTAGGCTAGTATACAATTACATCGCTGACCTTTCTTAGATCAGTCTTTCGTAAACAGATCCTGCTGCTACTGGTCTATGTCTTTATTTACTTCACCACTGACCTCTATAAGAGCCTATTATCTACTGAACATCTATTTTCTTTCTGCTTGTTCCAAATCAGTACACAACCCGAACCTGTCACCTAGAAAAAAGCCCTAGGTCATGTAGACGCAGACTAAATAAGGGACTTATAGCCCAAATTTACCTCCAAACCTCCCTCTTCCACTCTAGAACAAGTCCCAGTATCCCAGCATTCATTTTTTTTTCTTTGTCTTTGCAGTGAGAAATAACTTTTATTATTCTCTATGTATAATCACAGGACTTTTAAGATTTTGGCAAGGGCAGCTGCTAGGAACTTAGTTCCTGTTGACATAGGCCTGCTGCAATAACTTCCGAAGAGCTCTTTCTTTGCAGACAGTGGGTTTTATTTACTAAAGATGGTTCACTTACAATCTCGGGCACAGGGGCGGACTGACAACTCATGGGGCCCCCGGGCAATAGGGGATCATGGGGCCCCTGTGTCCTTCCTAAACTCAAAAAAACCTATGAAAAAGGTGCCAGTGGCATCTCATGGGGCCCTCTACTGACCCTGGGCCCTCGGGCAGTGCCCAAGTTTCCAAATGGTCAGTCTGCCCTAGCTTGTGCACTACTGCATGGAAACAAATCGGCTTCCAGGTTTTACTGCTAAAGTTTACATTGACAAGCTGAGGCTAAAAGCTGATTGACTGCCATGCACAGGTGCACCAGATTCTGAGTGAACCAGCTTTAGTAAATCTCCCCCAAGTGTGTAGACAGGCTCTTGAAAGTGAAAGCAGCAGCATTGTTATTTGGTAAAGAAATCAAAGTATGTGCAAGGAGAGGGACAAAGAGGGGTAGGGGATAGATTGTATTCTGTAGTCCATTAGGAAGGGATGTCAACACTCATTGGGAAAAACAATGCAAGTTTAAAAAGGAAACTAGCATCACACTTGACTTCTGGCAGATATTTTTCCATACTTGCAGCATTTTTAAAGAAAAAAACGAGGTAAAAATATTTTGTCCTGATATGCAAACATTAAATAAACTGATGTGTTTTTATTGAGATCGAATGCAAAAATTGTAAAACAGGTTCTCCACGGGCACAACCTTTTGTTATGGCCTAGGCGCAGAGCAATGTTAAGATCTCCAATTTTAAGTTGGTTTCTATTTAATTCAAAGAATTAAATAAAAGGCACCAATAGCCGTATGCTTCCTAATTCCCAGATTAGCCAGTTGCAGAACAGCAATTAGTTAAAATAAAGTGTTGTTTATGATCAAATTCAATCTTGTATAGTCTACTATGAGTAGTGCAGTTTTGTGCTTTAAAAAATATGTTTGTGTGTTTTACAGTAGAGGGGACATTATTCTCACTATAATGACAAAAGCCAAGACAGGCAATATTACAGTATCTATAAACACACTCACAAAGATTTGTGTATGGCACTCTGTATAGTCAGAAATAATTATATTGCATTGTATTTATTATTTTTTTCACAGTTATTGATACTTTATTCAGTTTTAATATTACCATATATGATAGTCTCCCTTTTTGGCAATTTTGCCTGAATTATAACAAAAAGCCAGGCATATAGTCAGCTTCCAACTGTCCAGGTTAATAGGTCTTACTGAAGAAAACAGAAAATGTTATTTAATTTCTTGTCACCCCCACCTCCCGTCCACCCTGAGATAAGGCAGCGCTAGAACTGGAAATGGTCCCACATCATTATTTCTTCCCCTTCCTTCCTGCATAGGTAAAGAACATGTGCAACCAAAGAATTCCTGTTTATAGTCATAGCTGGATAAAAAGAAGAGACATGACCAGTGACCAGATCATGTTATCTGACATTTATGAACTTCTGGTTATGGTGCTATGCTTCCCTGGCCAGTAATGCTTTGAAGGGCAGGGAAGGAATCAGTGGTCTAATAGTCACCTGATCTCTCCATAAAGAGTACCAGTCACTACCAAAGCTATCACAAGGGAATGGAAAAAGTAAAAATAAAAATTGTAAAAAAAAATACACTTAGAACAAAATTTAAAGCACCGTGCCCCCTGTGTTCACATGGAAATGCAAATGCACACCCTCATATACAAAAAAAAGTATGAGATAAAGGAATTCATTTCTTGTGACTCAAGCCATGTGATTTATATCATAGAATGTCCATGTGGCATTGAATATGTGGGTAGGACCGCAAGAAAATTGAAAACAAGTATAGGGGAACATATAAATAGTATAAAAAATGGGTTTGAAAAACACAGTGTATCGAAACATTTTAAAGATAAGCACAAAAAAGATCCAAGCTTGTAAGTCTTTTATGCAATAGATAAGATTATTGGTTATTAGAGAGGGAAAGATATGCCTAAAGAAGTATCAAAGAGAAACCAAATGGATTTATGAATTATACACTTTACAGCCAGGGGGGAATG